AAATATCTATAATAAATAAGCTAAATTTTATCTTCGGATGTATCTATCTATATATATATATAATAAATAAAATTATGTAATGGAAATGAAATTAATACTACTGATTTGAATTATATGCACTAGCTAGTTTATTAATAAAAACTCTGGTTTTTTTTGTTTTAAAGTTGTAAACATCAAACATGCGCTGATTGCGGAGATGATAATTCGGTTTATTTTTGGGTGCCAACAGGCTGTATAACTTATGTTGAAGATTGTTAATAATTCTTTCAAAAAATTATTTAGTACATAGATCTTCATGATGGTTAGTTATGGGTTTTATTCCCAATTCCTTACAACCTAAATTATAGCTTGATACGGGCATAACGATTGACACTGCCCTCTTTTCCAGACGAACAAGCTCCTCCTTGATACTGTGTGAGGGCATGGTAAAACACAAGAATTGCATAATCTATTACCGATCTTACGCACGTTAAGCAGAAAAGAACTAAGTCACGTGTAGGTACATTTGCTCTCTTCAATTGAACTAGAAAGTAAAGTCTCTTGCTGACTTTCTTAACTACTTCTTGTATATGTTCGTTCCATGTTAAGTTGTTACTTATAGGTTGCTATCAATAGACGTCACTTCCGGTAATAGCTCTTTTTTGATGGCTTGTAGAATCCTGGAGGTTGTTTTGATCTCTTGTTTTCTGGTTTGATGTCGTGAAAATAGTCAAATACAATAGTTTGAGGACTTATTTTGATATGTTTTGACTTAACATCCGCTAGTTGCCCCCCGCTTGTTGGCCCCCCAGTCAACTCCAAAAAGTCACGTGATTGATAGCAAGCAATTGTAAGGCCTAATAACTTAGTATTAACGTCCATTCCTTTACCATCGACAACTACTGGCTCATAAAAAGATTCTTGATTTCTAGCAAACGATATACGAAGTTAATCTCTGATAAAAAGGAACAGTGACCCCCATTTTTTATTTCATATATTTAAAGAAATGCTAAAGATGTGCATTTAAACAGTTAAACCATTTATTTATCGCACCGAAACACGACAAAAGCGACAGTTTTGTTCGAGATGCAATTTGTTTTCTCCTCAAAAAAAAAAAGTTTTGAAAACAGATTATTACTCTAATACCTTTCCCATTATAATTTGTAACTCTTTCACCATAATTTTTTTTTTTGTCTTCACCACTTGATAATCGTCACGTAGCTCACGATAGGTGTCGAAATGATCGACTTCCAAGTCATTTTACATGCAGGCTGATTGTACAGTGATCCCCTAGTTTTTTTTGGCTTATTTTGGGTTTTATGTTGTTTTATCCACTGATAAAGTTTCAGAAAATAGACCTCCTCAGCTCGGGCGTAATGTTATCCCATTTCAGACCACGTGTCATTCCCTAAAGTATCCTTTCTTTGTTTAATGGTTTCACATGAGAAGACACATGAATATGGATACAGCTCAAGCAAAGAATCTAATTCTCAAAGGAATTACACGTGGTCTGAAATGGGACAACATTACAAACAAGCCGAGGAGGTCAAATGGCGTTTACTTCGCATTTGTCAGCGAACGTACTTTCTACGCATGCGTTTTGTGACTTGCTATCATCAGTAAATCTTCTTTGTCATTGTCTCTATTGTCATATCATCAACTGGAAATCAACTTTGATTTTTTATTTCATTCTTTTGGAAATGATTGCAAATCCCACGTTTGATGTTTGCGATGCTGTTTCTCAGTCGACCATATTTTCAAACCATTGATACCTTAATTATGTTCCCATACTATGGACTACGGAGCTTTAAATGATAGCGGCAACCATACACATCACATCAGAGATGTGCTCAGGATTAGAAGGGGAAAAAGCTTCATAAAATATGAAAATTTTCAACAACAACAGAATTGCCCTATTTGACTATGACATCACTGCTTGTTTATGTGGGGGATAGAATCGCCAAATCCAATATACCGTTTTCTTAAGGTTGTGTGCGCATCCACCTTGACGGGCCACAAAACTAAAAAAAAGGAAAATTCAGTAAAATTGAGAAGACAGTTTTATGTTTAAAGAAGAGAATAATCGATTTTATGAATTCTTATCGAAAACATTTCAGATCAATGCATGATAATACTCGTGTTTTGTTATCGTGGCCCGTCAAGTTCCTCAAATTTGGATGCGCACGCAACCTTGAGAAAA